GCGCCCCTCAGCGCGCTCCCGCCAGCGCTGCAGCACCTCCTCTGCCGCGTCGACCACCGTGAGGCCCCGGAAACCGCTGCACAGCAGTTGTTCGGGTCGGCGGTTTGCGCAACTTATGGTGCGCTAGTTGGTCGTTGGTCAAAAGAAGTGCAGCTGATCTTGCCGTTGATGCGCCCGGCACACCAGCAGTGTAACCGCCCACCACACCCCTGTCCGAATCGCCTTCGTTGCACCACACACGTTGCTGCGCTGTGCTGCGCATGCATGCAGTCGACCCTGAAGCAAGGTTGGCCAGCGCCTCATACGCAGCGGTGTCGTCGGCCCCGATCACGGGCATTCGGCCGGCGCCATGGTGGGCAAGCCCGCCCCTTTGTTTGCCCCCTGCCCCTGACCCCCACCTGTCATACAGGCGCTCGTGCAGGGCCGACAGCCCCGGCCCCACCACCAGGAGGTTGTCGCCGTAGCTCAGCTGCTTGGTGAAGACCGGGCGCAGTGCGTCATAGTCGGCGTACCTTGACGGCAAGTGACACGTATGTGAAAAGATGATTTTTTTCCTATGTGCCATGTATGCATGCATGTACAGTACATGGGCATGTAAATACATGTGCACATACATGCTGGATGTTGTACGTGTCCATCAGGGGCTGGGGAGACACGCCGCATCGTGTGGTGGCGGGCATTGGGTGACAAGCATGCCCGCTAATCGCGCGCATGCTCCTTGATTTCAAGGGCGTGGCAGTGTGTCTGTGTGTGGGGGGCTGATGGTGGTGAGAGGAGCCAGCGACCTCCCAGCCCCAGGGTTGGGACGGACTGCAGGGCTTGCTGTGTGTGTTGCCATCAGGCTCGTTGCCGGTGGAGCAGGCATGCAGGTCCCCAGCAATGGGGCGCACCACTCAACGGCAGTCTCCAATGAGCCTGGCGGGGCGCTGGCGCGCCAGAAGGTCAGGTTTCCATAATGCGCTCCCGCCGTCGCCGCCATCGCCGGTGTGCACCCTGGCACCTCAGGCGCGGTCAACTGCGTGCAGCGGTCAACGGCACGCGGCGCCGCGGTCAGCCTGGACTCGCTGTGGGCTTGTTTTGGGACCTACTGCAACAGGTTTATCCTCTACGCACAAGTTTATCCTTTTGCCAGGCTAAGCAGCATGCGCAGGAGCGCGGCAGCACACAGCCAGTCAGAGCAGCTTCAGTGGCAGCGTGCTCTGCACACCCGTCACAAGTGAGCAGGTCGTTCTAGGAGTCCACCCAGTGGTCAAGAGGTTTCGTCCCAGCGCTCTGCATGTGATTTTTTCCCGGGTTCAAAGCCGTGCCCTTCGCGTCGGGGCTTCAAGCTCGCTTCCTCACCCTCACTCAGCTCCACTCGCCAGGCGCGCGAACCCTCAAAGCAGTACATCATACAGACAGATAGCCGACTCGACTCACGATCTCAGCGCGGGGCTCTGCCTCGCTGCTGCTGTGGCAGGATGGCCATTCAGCTGAGACTACGGCACCCACTGGGGGACATGGAGGCTTTCGATGTGCAAGAAAGCTTCACAGTGCAGCAGGTTAAGGAGGCGGCATTCACGCAGTGGCCTACAGGTGCGCGGGAGAACCGAGTGTTGCCTCAGCTCGTGCCCTGTCGTTTGTCGCCTGGCGTTCACTTCATCGCGCTTCCCGTTTGCAGAGGGTCCCCTCTCTAAGGAAAATCCCACAACAGCGGCTGACCTGCGGCTGCTTTGTGCCGGCAAGTTCCTGGAGAACAGCAAGACGCTCAAGGGTGCGCGCTGCGCGCCACTCTAGCGCAAAGTGCTGCCTGCGCCGCTTCTGCCACTTATCGCTCTTTTGTCACAGACACAGATGCGTTCTGCGTGTTGAATATTGGCCAATCGTGTGCGTGTGCGTGCCTGACAACCGGCGCAAGCGCAAGGCGCCACATGATGGTGACTCGGATGGCGTTGCTGCAAGCCCGTCGCTGCCGCACCTTTTGCGCCCTGACGACCTGCGGGCTGCGCCTGCTGCCCCCAACAACCCACCTGAAGAGTATCGAAAGGAGATGGGCGATCCGGAGGCGGGGACGATTGTGACGATGCACGTTCTGGTGCGGCCAGCGCAGGCGGGCAAAGCAGGTGCGTGTGAGTTCGGGCGAGGGGGTTGCGTCGCCCTCAAGGATTTGTGGCACGGTACCGGATTGGGGCAGGCACCAACAGCATACAATGGCATCGTGATCGCAGCTCTCAACACGATAAATGCAAGACCAAGAGTGCTCTCACGCATCTGTGCAGCTGCCGTGGCCCAGCATGACTTGACCGCTATTGCGTCCTCGCCTCTGGCCTCGCCCTGCTCCGCACCGCAGCAGCATCCAAGCAGCCCGAGGCCGAGAAGAAGGCTAAGAGCGGCTGCGCGTGCGTCATCTGTTGATGCGGCCGCTTGGTGTGCGGGCGGCGAAGCATAACAGCTGACGCGCCACCGTGGCGGCAAGCAGCAGGGCAGAGCACGCCCCTGGGCGATTACGGCCCACCTGCTTCGTGCCTGCGGGCATTTGCAAAACGCCGCCCGCGCGGCTCAGCGGCATTGCGGCACTGCCGCAGGGTTCGTGCGGCGCGCGTTTATTTACGGGCACAAGCGCAGGCCCACCCCGGCGGCCTGGGCCCTTTCCTGTTTACGGCGGCAGCAGTGGCGCAAGTGGTGCCCGCGCGCAGCTGCTCTGCACACGCCGCAGCACTTCCCAGCGCCGCGCGGCTGCTGGTCCGTTACAATAGCAGCGTTTGAGCAGGAGCGCAGCGACAATGCCTCGCCCCTGTCGTGCCCACGCTTGGCTGGGTTGTGTTTTCGCGACTGGTTTCCCTCTCTGTTTCGCGTCCCTGGCTGTCGTGTTTTCTTTGGGCACCTGCCTCATCACCCAAAGTTGTCTGCTGTTGTCTGTTGTGCGCACAAACGATGGGAGCGTCACAGTGCATGCTCAACGACCCATGGGCACTTCTGCAAGCCGTGCTGCAGTGCACGTTGCTTCGGGGCGCTGGCTCACCCCCTGCACCGCCGCAGGCCGCCCAGGCCCCTCGATGCCGCCCCCCTCTCGTGTCCTTGCGGCGTCGATCGGCTCTTTTGGTTGCATGCAGCGCCTCAGCGCGGCGCGGCTCTTGGCGGGGATTTGGGAGCGCGGCAAGCAGCTGCGCTGAGCGATGGCACACGCGCACGCGCCAGGGCCGCTGCGTGCCCCGGTCGTGTTTTTACTCGGCTTGCTGCAAGCCCTGTCCTAGCAAGCTGCTTTCTTGAGTGCTCTCCCGCCTCGGCGCACCTATGCATCGCCCCGCGCATGCCGCCGCGTTGCACCATTCAGGCCGCGCGTTGTAGCGGGCCGCGCGTATGCGCGCGCGCGCTCACCCTAGTCCTGCCCCTGCCGCATGTGTGTCCACCATCCCATGACCGTCGGACCTTCCTATTCTAGTGCACACACCGTAATGCCCGCGGCCTTTCAACCACTTGGACCATTGGAGGCATTAAACCGACACCACATCGGTAACAAAGTGACAGATCTGGCTGTCTGGGGCTTTTGCATTGTCGGTCGGCTGCCAACCTTGCACACGAAGGCGTGACATGGATCTCTTTTATTGGCAATTTGTAGGGCAAATGGAATATAAGTAAAAGCAAGCCGGTTGGACGAGCGTGTCGTGAGGCAGCAGTTGGAGTCGGTTGGGGGTTGGGGCGCGTTGGTTGGCAGGATCATGCACGCGGCTAGCGATGTCTTTGCCAAGAAGGTTTCCCGTGCATTGAAGGCTTCAGGCGGAGGCTCTGAAATGATAATTGAGGCTGCCAGCCATGGGAAATGCCCCTCCATAACTTGGCTGAGGGTACGCAAAGACAGGTCGGGGATGGCAGGAGGCGAGAGGAATACGCCGCGAGCCAGCTGCACGAAACCGGAACCTGCGGCGAAACTCATTTGTTCAAGGGATGTGTCCATTGGGACGTGACACGAAGCTGCCCGTGCAGCAGGAATTACTGAGGGCCACGGCCTCTTGTAATTTCGCACGCACGGCATTGGTGGGAGGTCGAAGTATTATACATCGAAGACACTTCTACAAGCCTGATCAAAGTCTCCTGATCTGATCTGTGCTTTAGAACATCACCAAGGGCGCGGGCGTGAGAAAAGGCAGCTCCAGCATGGTGCAGGAAAAGAAGACGGACGATCAGATCAAGGAGGATGCCACGAAACAGCAGAAGGATGTCGCAGCAGGTGCGCCGTGCGCCGCGTGCAGTGCATGTCGATGGGGGTGCGGGACGTCGCATCCGCTGCGCAACTCCTGAGCAGCGGGCTGCTGCCTTGGTAGCATTACAGCATATGGCCTCCCGGGATGCAGCGCGAACCACATCGATGCGCAGCCGCAGCGCCCGTCTGCACCATGTTCATTGCTGCAGGTCGCACATCTGACCCCCTGCACCTGCGTCCCGCGCCCCTCTCGCGCCAAGCCGCCGCGGCCCCCAAGCCGTACGTCGTCCGCGAAGCACTGCAGTCCATCGTGGCGCTGATTGAGAAGTCCGTCAAGTCCAAGGAGACGCGCCTGCAGTCCGGCCGGCTGCTGCGGCAGACCGCGGTCGCGCGGCGCCACCTGGGCGCTGCTGACCTGGCGGCGTTCCTGGAGGCACACCTGCCGGCCGAGTCCCCGGCCAAGACCTACCTCGTGGGGTTGGTTGAGAAGGTGCGGCGAGAGTGCGGGCAAAAGAGCGCGACGTTGCGGCGGCAAGCAGGCGTCGGGGTTTGCGCCGCCGTGCCTGGACCCCCTTTGCGGCTGCGCCGTGCGGGCGGTGCGATGAGGGGCTGCGTCCTTTCAGAGCTTTTCGCGTTTTGGACGCCGTTGTGCGTGGCAGCCCAACCGGGTTTCACCTCGCTGACGCACGCGGAGCTTCCCTGCGCGCGGCAGCACAGGCAGTTGTTCCTTGGCCGCATTGCTGCGGGGTGTGCGGTGCGGTGTGTGGTGCGTGGCTACTTCGAGCCCCATCTGCATCCCAGACGCCAGACGCCTGGAATTTTTTGGCGACTCGGCCCGCTCTCTCCGCGCCCCGCCCGTATCGCAGCTGGGCAGCACCGCAGCGGCGCCTATGGAGGACGACAGCGCGGCGGCGGCGGCGGCGGGCGGCGGCGGCACGGCGGCGGCGGCGGCGGTCGTGCCGAGCGCGCTGCCAGAGGTGGAGCTGTATGCATACCTGCTAGTGCTGGTGTTCGCGATCGACAAGGGAGCAATTGAGGAGGTGCGTGCAGTCAGGGGGCCGCGGGGGTCACAAAGGGTGCTGCCTTGTGAGTGTGTGAGTGTGCGTGGAGGGGGGGGGGGGTGCGGCCGCGTTGCGAAGCAGACAAGACTCGGGCGTGGTGGGGTGAGTGGTAGTATAGGCGGATGGGGGTTGAGGGTTGGGCGTGTGTATGCGGTGGAGGGTCTTGGGGGCTGCCCACATCAAAACATATCAGGCCTCATGCATGGACTTTATTAAGAGTGGCCGTACGTCGTTGAAAGCCATGAGCCTGCAGCCCCAGCAGCGGCAGCCGCGGCAGCCACGGCCGCAGTGGTGGCAGCCCCAGCAGCGGCGGCCGCGCGACGCAGCCGGCCACCCTCGAGCGTGTCCGCCCGACCACCACGCCCGGCCCTCCCGCCCCTTGCGAACCGCCCCACCCCCACAGGCGAGCGACGCGGCGGACCGTGCGGTGGCCCGGCTGCGCGACTTCAACCGCCGCACGCTGGACGTCATCGCCAGCCGCATTTACTTCTATTACGGGTGAGTCATCGCACGGGTGGCTGGCGGGGCCTCTGGTGACAGTGGGCGCTGCGGCGGGCGGGCGGGGTGGGAT